AACAGCTCTTCACTGGAACACTGAGTATTTATGTTTGTGTGTACTTTACTAATATACACACACCAATGTTCTCATTATTAATATATAAACTACATAATGAAATGAGATATGACAATGAAAGAGAAAAAAAAAACTACACCAGAGCAAATAAACGAAGATGCACGAATTTTGCAAGTTGTGACATCAATTCAATATCTTTTTCTCGTATATGCATAATTTATGTGTTTAACTATGTGCATATTATATACTATATTTATATATACAATTTTCTCTTTCCGTTTTTTTTTACAAATATTTTTCTTACGTGCCGCACTCTTCATACTATGACGATATATTTAATACTACGTACTTTTATTTTACACGGTATAGTAAATTTATAATATTCTCAATAATATTTTTTTTTCTTTGTGTATAATTTACAATTTGATCTGATTTGAATGAGATTATGTTGCATGTTTCATGCAATTATGCACAATCGTGCTTATTTTATAAGAATGCACAACACGGTTTTAGCTTTTTTCTTGTTTTTAATTTTAGAAGATACAACTTTATATTTTTGTATATGCCTATATGTTACGTGTACGTAAATTTGGGTATTTGAAGTATATGCGGTAAAGATATGAGTATAGATATTCAATAACGAAAGCCACAAAGGTCGCTTACTAATTATTGTTTTAAATGGAAAATTTAAATAAAAATCCGGAGAAAATGTGTAAATGGAATGCAAGAGAGCTAATAAATTATGAAAATGAGTCTGACGTAATTTTTGTGGGAAATCGTTTAAATTTCAAAATTTGCCTGTCTGGAATGTAGAATAGTTAAAATTTGGAAATGTACCTGCCTGGTCTGAAACTCATATTTTGTAAAAAAATCCTTAAAATTGGAAAATGTGCCAGTCAAGAACGCATTTTTTGTGGGAAATCGTTAAAATTTTGATCATTTGCCTGTCTGAAGTTCAATCTTTGTGGAAAATCGTCAAAATGTGAAATTTAATTCTGTCTGGAACATAATTTTCGCGAAAAGTCTCCAAAATATTGAAATACATCTGCCTGGAAAATAGTGTAGTCCCTTCAATTTGTAAATAAATTTTGATATTAATGACAACTTTGTTGTAGAATAGAAACTACTACAGAAAGATACCCATAACTGTAAGTAATTTACGTATTCAGTGCAATCATTTATCATCATAAAAAAACTTGTGCCAAAGAAGATGTCGAATGCTTACTAGTATGCATTATTGTACAACTCTTATTATCTTTGTTTTTCTGAATAAATCTCACTAACAACCATCAACTTCATAATTAGTTATCAATTTATCATCAATATACAATATCTATTTCCATCAATAATTTTCAAATGCTTTGATATTGTACGTGATGTGAGTATAGATGAAAATAAAAACCAATTCTCCCTGTTTCTCTCCTTCTAAGTAACGAAAACAAAAAAAAGCAATAATAGAAAAAATTCCCATCTATTTTTTTTTTTCTTATTCACTTTCATTCGATTCGAGTGTGCGAATGCTATTTGATATCTACTATAACTGCTTACTACGAAAAGATGCAAAACTGATGCAAATAATTTTCACATGATTGAAATTTCTGCATGCTTCATTTTCAACTTTTTCTTCTTGTTGCTATTTAAGAAGATCAATGTAAAAAAGTGAATAATGAAAAGTGCAAGGGAAAACTTGACGGACTTGATTTCCTACCTTTTTTGTTTTCTTCTTGCCTCAACTTACATACTCTATGCATCATATTTCGTTTTATTTTGTGTCGAACTGACTATGTTGTATTGCAATTGTGGTTTACAAAAGGTAGAAATTTTTTTCATTATATACTTGTTATAAAAAACAACAAAAAAACAAAAGATCTTTGAATTGCGTTCCAGTTTTTATTTCTACATTTTCTTTCTTATATTTTATCTTATGATGGAACATGTAGGACAGCATTATTTAGTATGTAAAAAGTGGTTAGTGTAACAACTTTTCTTCCAATTTTTTTTTTTTATTTTGTTTTATAAGATGAATAAGGATGAGTTACAGTGAAAATGTGCGTTTTATAAATGCGTGTAAAGTTTTTTTATTTTGTATTTAATGTGGAGATAGTCAATTTAGAGTAATATTTATTTTACAACAATGTAATTTGCAACATTTTACAATCTATTAAAACATAGAGTTAATTAAATTTATGATGAATTAGATTGGAATCTTACCTTATTAAAAGCAAATCGAGCCAATTCAATTGCAGTTGACTTTCAACTGCCTAAATTTGGGAGTTTAAAATTCTCTATATAAATAATTACATAAATAATCTCTAAATTGATAACATGATTGGAGAGCGACATCAGCGTTCTATGAGTAATTGTGTGGGTCTACAAAATGATCATGATAGGCTCGCTTTCTAATATGTACTAGGAATGGTTTTCAAAATTAATATAGGCAAGTGTCAGGTATTGAGTTTCCCTAGTAGGCATAATTTATCGGATGTGAGGTTTGATTACAGGCTTAATAGGCATATTCTGCAGAAGGTTGATGGAATTTGTGACCTGTGTAGGTGTTATTTTGTATTGTATAGACTCGATTTTAAAATTTATTTTAATTTGGTGGTTAATAGTGCGAATTCTACTCTAAGTCTAGGGAATTCAATGATTCTTTTATGGCGACACATTTCAGGTCTTGTTTCCGTTTTGCAATGTTGATATAGATCGTATTGAGCCTATGTGCAGATGCGTTTCCTTCGTTTTTATCTTCGTTGTATGAACTGGTCGAATTCTGGATTAGATTACGTTTTCTTAGAGTAGGCTTCAGGTTTTGGACTTAAGGTTGTTTCATTGTCGATGGGTGGTTTCAATAAATTCGAATATTTTGTGACATTTTTTTGTCAACCGACCTTAATTGTACGGAACATCCTTGCTGGCAACACAGACACCCAGAAACTCTCTTTTTCTATAAACCAAAGTCATGTAATCGAATAACCACGTATGGTTTTTAAGAATGACCAAGACTATCATACTTAATTCCATAATTGACACTCACAGTTTGTATTAATTAGATAAATGCAGAGTTCTTGGTAGTAATTTGAATCGAATATTAATTTAAATTGTTACTCCTATAGTAAACAGGAATAAAACTTTAAAAAAAATTTACCAACTCAATTTTCATTTATTATAATTCTTAATTGCATAAAATGCATTTTATATAAACCCTTTATGTATTTTTCTTTATATAATACACACACACACACACGTACATTTTATTTGAACATATTATTTTTTTTTATCATTTTAAATGCATGTGCATAATTTCAATAAAACATGTTAAAAAAAAAACAAGGAAAAAATAAATAGAAGAAAAAAAATAATTATGATGCGTTCGTGATCTTCCTTAGGGAGTTGCATTTGGCTTTGGCTTTGGCATATATTAACAAAAAACAACAACTACAAAACAAAAAACAAATAATCATTAGAGAGTAAGTATATGGAGTTGTTATAGAACGAGTTCATTTTACATATGCAATTTTAATGTGCATTCCTCTCCATATTTGCATTATTTGAATACACATAATGTGCACATACGTATATGATGCCTTTTATACTCACATATGTGCTCATTAATGCAAAAGAAATTGCATTGCAACTTGAATGCATTTATGAATTAATAAAAGAAATATTTATATATTATTATGCATATATGCATGTAAAGAGTGCAGTATGTTGCATTGCAACGGCAAGGAAAAATAAAAAAGGATTTTATAATGGGGAACAAAGAAAAAACTAGGTTTTATAAGTTGGCACACAAAATGCAAAAAAATATGAAAAATGCTTAGGGAAAATTTAAAAAACGTTGAGGTAGAACAGGGTTGAGTTCTGGTATAGGTAAAGTAGAATTGGGTTGATTTCAAAGAAAAGAAAAAAAACGAAAAAGAAAAGAGAAAAAATTTAAAAATGAATGAAGAATGAGAAAATATTAAAAGAAAAAAAAAGAGAAAAAACAAAACAACAACAAAATTGATATTAATTTGTTTTTGTTTTTGTTATTCTTGCGCAGATTATTTGCCTTTCAAGTGTGCAAAATTGCTGTACCACCGCTCCGCTTAAAAGTTTGTCATAGCATGAAAAAGATTTTTCTTATACAACAGAAAAAATTCTTTTAACAAATTTTTTTTTTAAAATGCATTCGAGATTTTTTTGCTTTTAAATAATAATTGTATGTAAAAGGGTTGTAAAAATCTAGAATCTAAGTTGTGTTTGCTTTTAAAATATCGGAACTGTTCTACAACTTTTCCATTTTTTTTCATTTTACAATGTTATTGTTGCCTTCTGTCATTTTCTCACCCATATTTTTGCATATTCATAAAAAATTTAGGTATGATTTAAGAAACCAGGTATACCAACATGTTTACATACCAATTGCAATATGTGATGTACTTTTACCAAGGCGAAAGGACGGTTGGCTCTTTAATAAATGACCTATGTAAAAATTTAAAAAATATTGTGAAAAAAATTGCGTTGATAAGTGTAAAATAAATGTTATTAGAATTTCAAAAAAATTACCCATGACAAAATTTGAAAACTAACTAGACCTATTTAGAAGGAGCTCCTGGTAGAAGCATACTTTATATTATTCAAATCAGAACTAAGGTATCAAAAAGCTGATCAATCAGTGACATAACGACAAAATGAATTCAGATAATAATTTTCGAAAGTGCAGATATATAGCAACGGGCCATCAGACCGACGTTTCTTAAAAATTGTTTATTTACGGTTCCTTACCATGGAAAAGTGAATTTCCGACATTTGTAGGCAATTCGGTTAGCTTTGAGTTTTTGTTTCCGCTCCGTATAACTGTATAAATATACAATATATGTGCCTATGTGAAATAATATTCTGAATTGTAAGTCAGAATAGTACATTAACTTTGATGTAATTTTATTTATTTTTAACATTTAAAAATTGGTTTATGTCCACAATAATTAATAAATTCTTTTTTGTTCTAATTTCAGGTAAGTCAAAGTGGCATTCAATTTTAACCTGTTCTACTCATTACTATTAGAGTAAGTATTCTTTTAAATATTGGACTTTTATAAAAACATACATACAAAGCAATCCCTCGTTTAAAGTCGTCTTTAGGATCGAAAATATACGACTTTGAGACGAAGTGACTCAATGTGCACGGTTCTAATATATCTAAATTTTACATAATAATTAATTTTTCCTTAACATTGGTGTGATTTTATGCGAATGATTACTGTATAGGCGGAATTTGTACAGTTAATGTAAAGATATTTCTTGACTCAACTGTTACTATCCAATTATAATTCATCCTATTAAACATACATACTTATTTTAATTAGCTCACTAACAATTTTAGTTTGTGGGTAGTGTGTTTCCACCGGGGGTTCATTCAACGCTTCGAATATTTTCTGTTATTTTTGTTTATCTTTTTTTAAATTTATTAAAATTAAAATTATATATAATAACAATTAGTCACTTACGTACGTTCATACATACATACAATAAATAAACAAAATTAATTGTTACAAGTTTTTCGGTACAAGAGGCTTCTGTTTTTTTTTTTAAACTCAAATTTAACAGGACATCAAGAAAAATTATGAAATTTAATAATAAAAATAACTGTAAAGATAAAATATAAAAGTAAAAATAATTTGAATTGAAAAAAAAAAATTGGACACGAAAAAAACGCCCGCACTTCATTAAAAACACATAAAAAAAAGTAAACGAATTTTTTTTTTCTCTCTGTAAATTGTGCGCGACAGAAAACATGTCAGCGGAATTTCAAAATTTTATGGAACGAAATTAAATGAAATATTATTGACGCGATCTTTTAGTTGCGTCGAATCATTTTTCATGAATGTACAAAAAAAAAATTAAAATATAAAAAAAAATATTTTTTTATTTTTAAATATTTTTAATTAAAATGTTTTGAAATTCCGCCTATTTTTACACCATGTGCGCGAAGATTATTATTTGTGTATTCCAAATATTAACAAAAATTTAAATTATAATAGTGGCAGAATCTCTTCTAGTTTAGCCAGAAAACGCGTTTAAAGTTTTTCAAAAGATTTTTTTAAATATCTCCAAAAATATTTTTGCTACAGCCTATTATCATATATTGGCGGAATCTGTGAACTCCCAGTGATCACAAAAAACACTTCAAATCGCTCTATCTCCTCTAGCTTAGCCAGAAAATGCGTTTAAAGTTTTGCACAAGATTTTTTTAAATATCTCCAAAAATATTTTTGCTACAGCCTATTATCATATATTGACGGAATCTGTGAACTCCCAGTGATCACAAAAAACACTTAAAATCGCTCTATCTCTTCTAGTTTAGCCAGAAAACGCGTTTAAAGTTTTGCACAAAATTTTTTTAAATATCTCCAAAAATATTTTTGCTACAGCCTATTATCATATATTAGCGGAATCTGTGAACTCCCAGTGATCACAAAAAACACTTAAAATCGCTCTATCTCTTCTAGTTTAGCCAGAAAACGCGTTTAAAGTTTTGCAAAAGATTTTTTTAAATATCTCCAAAAATATTTTTGCTACAGCTTATTATCATATATTGGCGGAATCTGTGAACTCCAAGTGATCACAAAAAACAATTAAAATCTCTCTACCTCTTCTAGTTTAGCCAGAAAACGCGTTTAAAGTTTTGCAAAAGATTTTTTTAAATATCTCCAAAAATATTTTTGCTACAGCTTATTATCATATATTGGCGGAATCTGTGAACTCCAAGTGATCACAAAAAACAATTAAAATCTCTCTATCTCTTCTAGTTTAGCCAGAAAACGCGTTTAAAGTTTTGCACAAGATTTTTTTAAATATCTCCAAAAATATTTTTGCTATAGCCTATTATCATATATTAGCGGAATCTGTGAACTCCCAGTGATCACAAAAAACACTTAAAATCGCTCTATCTCATCTAGTTTAGCCAGAAAACGCGTTTAAAGTTTTGTACAGGATTTTTTTAAATATCTCCAAAAATATTTTTGCTACAGCCTATTATCATATATTGACGGAATCTGTGAACTCCCAGTGATCACAAAAAACACTTAAAATCGCTCTATCTCTTCTAGTTTAGCCAGAAAACGCGTTTAAAGTTTTGCGCAAGATTTTTTTAAATATCTCCAAAAATATTTTTGCTATAGCCTATTATCATATATTAGCGGAATCTGTGAACTCCCAGTGATCACAAAAAACACTTCAAATCGCTCTATCTCTTCTAGTTTAGCCAGAAAATGCGTTTAAAGTTTTGCACAAGATTTTTTTAAATATCTCCAAAAATATTTTTGCTACAGCCTATTATCATATATTGACGGAATCTGTGAACTCCCAGTGATCACAAAAAACACTTAAAATCGCTCTATCTCTTCTAGTTTAGCCAGAAAACGCGTTTAAAGTTTTGCACAAAATTTTTTTAAATATCTCCAAAAATATTTTTGCTACAGCCTATTATCATATATTAGCGGAATCTGTGAACTCCCAGTGATCACAAAAAACACTTAAAATCGCTCTATCTCTTCTAGTTTAGCCAGAAAACGCGTTTAAAGTTTTGCAAAAGATTTTTTTAAATATCTCCAAAAATATTTTTGCTACAGCTTATTATCATATATTGGCGGAATCTGTGAACTCCAAGTGATCACAAAAAACAATTAAAATCTCTCTATCTCTTCTAGTTTAGCCAGAAAACGCGTTTAAAGTTTTGCACAAGATTTTTTTAAATATCTCCAAAAATATTTTTGCTACAGCTTATTATCATATATTGGCGGAATCTGTGAACTCCAATCACAAAAAACACTTAAAATCGCTCTATCTCATCTAGTTTAGCCAGAAAACGCGTTTAAAGTTTTGTACAGGATTTTTTTAAATATCTCCAAAAATATTTTTGCTACAGCCTATTATCATATATTAGCGGAATCTGTGAACTCCCAGTGATCACAAAAAACACTTAAAATCGCTCTATCTCTTCTAGTTTAGCCAGAAAACGCGTTTAAAGTTTTGCGCAAGATTTTTTTAAATATCTCCAAAAATATTTTTGCTACAGCCTATTATCATATATTGACGGAATCTGTGAACTCCCAGTGATCACAAAAAACACTTAAAATCGCTCTATCTCTTCTAGTTTAGCCAGAAAACGCGTTTAAAGTTTTGTACAGGATTTTTTTAAATATCTCCAAAAATATTTTTGCTACAGCCTATTATCATATATTAGCGGAATCTGTGAACTCCCAGTGATCACAAAAAACACTTAAAATCGCTCTATCTCTTCTAGTTTAGCCAGAAAACGCGTTTAAAGTTTTGCGCAAGATTTTTTTAAATATCTCCAAAAATATTTTTGCTATAGCCTATTATCATATATTAGCGGAATCTGTGAACTCCCAGTGATCACAAAAAACACTTCAAATCGCTCTATCTCTTCTAGTTTAGCCAGAAAATGCGTTTAAAGTTTTTCAAAAGATTTTTTTAAATATCTCCAAAAATATTTTTGCTACAGCCTATTATCATATATTGGCGGAATCTGTGAACTCCCAGTGATCACAAAAAACACTTAAAATCGCTCTATCTCATCTAGTTTAGCCAGAAAACGCGTTTAAAGTTTTGTACAGGATTTTTTTAAATATCTCCAAAAATATTTTTGCTACAGCCTATTATCATATATTGACGGAATCTGTGAACTCCCAGTGATCACAAAAAACACTTAAAATCGCTCTATCTCTTCTAGTTTAGCCAGAAAACGCGTTTAAAGTTTTGCACAAAATTTTTTTAAATATCTCCAAAAATATTTTTGCTACAGCCTATTATCATATATTAGCGGAATCTGTGAACTCCCAGTGATCACAAAAAACACTTAAAATCGCTCTATCTCTTCTAGTTTAGCCAGAAAACGCGTTTAAAGTTTTGCAAAAGATTTTTTTAAATATCTCCAAAAATATTTTTGCTACAGCTTATTATCATATATTGGCGGAATCTGTGAACTCCAAGTGATCACAAAAAACAATTAAAATCTCTCTACCTCTTCTAGTTTAGCCAGAAAACGCGTTTAAAGTTTTGCAAAAGATTTTTTTAAATATCTCCAAAAATATTTTTGCTACAGCTTATTATCATATATTGGCGGAATCTGTGAACTCCAAGTGATCACAAAAAACAATTAAAATCTCTCTATCTCTTCTAGTTTAGCCAGAAAACGCGTTTAAAGTTTTGCACAAGATTTTTTTAAATATCTCCAAAAATATTTTTGCTACAGCCTATTATCATATATTGGCGGAATCTGTGAACTCCCAGTGATCACAAAAAACACTTAAAATCGCTCTATCTCATCTAGTTTAGCCAGAAAACGCGTTTAAAGTTTTGTACAGGATTTTTTTAAATATCTCCAAAAATATTTTTGCTACAGCCTATTATCATATATTAGCGGAATCTGTGAACTCCCAGTGATCACAAAAAACACTTAAAATCGCTCTATCTCTTCTAGTTTAGCCAGAAAACGCGTTTAAAGTTTTGCGCAAGATTTTTTTAAATATCTCCAAAAATATTTTTGCTATAGCCTATTATCATATATTAGCGGAATCTGTGAACTCCCAGTGATCACAAAAAACACTTCAAATCGCTCTATCTCTTCTAGTTTAGCCAGAAAATGCGTTTAAAGTTTTGCACAAGATTTTTTTAAATATCTCCAAAAATATTTTTGCTACAGCCTATTATCATATATTGACGGAATCTGTGAACTCCCAGTGATCACAAAAAACACTTAAAATCGCTCTATCTCTTCTAGTTTAGCCAGAAAACGCGTTTAAAGTTTTGCACAAAATTTTTTTAAATATCTCCAAAAATATTTTTGCTACAGCCTATTATCATATATTAGCGGAATCTGTGAACTCCCAGTGATCACAAAAAACACTTAAAATCGCTCTATCTCTTCTAGTTTAGCCAGAAAACGCGTTTAAAGTTTTGCAAAAGATTTTTTTAAATATCTCCAAAAATATTTTTGCTACAGCTTATTATCATATATTGGCGGAATCTGTGAACTCCAAGTGATCACAAAAAACAATTAAAATCTCTCTACCTCTTCTAGTTTAGCCAGAAAACGCGTTTAAAGTTTTGCAAAAGATTTTTT